GTCATTGCACCAAACAGTTTGTGTTTCTTCTATGGTCACATTTCTCTGAAGGAGAAAACTTTTTTTACTTAATGAACATCCTTTAAGAGCTTTTTTGTATATATTACAAAAAATCTGTCTTGAACATCCACCTGGCAGACCTACTGTGTCTGGAATTGGAAATGCAACTGAGAGAATATCAGGTTTTGTAGAGTTTCATATTAACAACTTGAACTAGGTCCTATTTTCTGCTTCAAAGAACTCCCACCTATTAACCCTCATAATTATGTGTACCTTAGATATTGAATCTTTGTATACAAACACTGATCATGAACCAGGCCTAGAGTCACTGGAACATTTTCTTCACACTAGGTCTACAAAATCACCGTCTAATATGATGAATTTTTACTTTGAAAGGGATCCGTTACCAATTTACTGGAGTTTGTAGAATTTTTTTAAACGGACACTGTGTAGGTTTGTTATACTCTTGATCATAGTACTAAAAAAATAACTTTCTTGACTTAAGAGTAACCAAAAAAATATTCCATTTAAAGAGTGTATTAACGGGTATGAATAAGGATCTATCTGTTAATGAGTTTCTGTGGTTCACTAGATTTTTGTTTTTATATGTCTAGAAAAAAATGGTAATGTAAAGAAATTCATTTTTACAGTTCCTGTGATTGTCGTCTAATTTGAACTAGTTTGTGGTTTTTTGCACATCTGGGAATGAACCACTTTAAGATGTATAAGGTGACATCCCTTTTAAATCTGTAATGGTTCAGTCAAGAGCTTAGTTGAACTTTGGTTCAAGCATTCAAGCATCATCAGCTTGAATGCTTGGTCAGCCTATTTGCGTGTTAATGGGTGATTAGTTGGTTTCATTTTTTTCTCTGGAGTATACTTTTTTTTTTTTTTTTCGTAAGTTAAACACAAACTGTTTGGTGTTTTGTAATGACCACGATCAAGGACACAAGCTCAACAGCGTTGGTCTGTTGATAAAGTTGTTCCCTGGTGTTATAAGTGTTGCTGGACCTTTCATCTCACATAATTTCAGAATATTGAAATTTTGTCTTTCATTTAAATATACTTACAGTTGAAATCTAGGAATTTAATTTGTTTTCTTTTTTACCAAAGTTTTTCATGTCCTTATAATGGCTTTGATATTAGTCCTCCATCATTTATTTACCATTTCCTTTCCTTTTTCTTCATTTATTTATTTATTTATTCTAAAATTGTGTGAATTGATATCGATTATCCACAATAACCTTCTCCACTGTAATTATAATCCCACGTGTTTCTGAAAATATCTTGGGTGTGCCAGCTGCCCACTGTTGACACCGCCTTGACCCTTATCTTTGCTGTATTAGAATAGAATTCAACTTTATTGTCATTGCACATGCACAGGTACAGGGCAACAAAATGCAGTTTACATCCATCCAGAAGTGCTTTTAGCCATGATATAGATATATTACAATATATATTAGCAATAATATAGATATGTGAGTATATTACAGAAATGGGTCTATTACGGTATGTAATATGTACACGGTATGAAGTATGTTATGAATATGCTATAACTATAAGTATGTACAGGCTATGAACAGGATATAAATATGAAAAAAACCCAACTATACAGAGTATGAAATAAAGAACTATACAGAAATGGGAGCTATGCAAGTTGTAAACAGTTATAGAATTAAAATGATCGTATGATTATTTACACAGAACTATACAGTAGTGCAGTTAAGAGGCTATATAAAGTGCTAGTGGTTGTGAGTGGTGGTTCAGTCCATGTTATTATTGTGTGTTTGAGGGTACAGTTGTCCTGTGTGTGTGTGTGTGTGTGTGTGTGTGTGTGTGTGTGTTCAGTCCATGTGTTAACGTGGGTCAGATGTCAGGAGGCAGAGTTCAGGAGTCTGACAGCTGTGGGGAAGAAGCTGTTCCGGTACCTGGTGGTCTTAGTCCGGAGGCTCCTCTAGCGCCTCCCAGAGGGCAGGAGGGTGAAGAGTCCATGTGATGGGTGACTGGGGTCTCTGATGATTTTCCCAGCCCTTTTCAGACACCGCTTCCTGTAGTATTAGCAAAACTGGAACAAAAGGAGAGACGATTGAAGAACTACAGCCTTGAAATGATGCATCTAGTTGCTTCAGCTCCTTTTATTATGTAGACATGTAGTTAATAAATGTGCATCTGAACTCTAACAGTTTGAAAGGATTTCCAAAGATATGATGGAAAAGTGAAAAGCACTATTTTTGCTCAGAGAGACAGCTAAAGTTTTTAAAAGTGTTTCAAATGACTCTTTGTGGTCCTGTGGAAAAAAAAAAGTACTACTGGTGTAGTTAGTTTGTACCTTTAGCAGCAATATGTCAAAGTAATCCATTTCTGTGTGTTAGCCCTTTCTTCTTTACAGTGTTTCTTCAGTTCATTGGGGTTTGTGTTCCTTTGCTTTATCACTTGTGCTGCTGTTGTTATCCAAAGTGCTTTCATTGCAGCTCAAATTGACTGCCAGTCCTGCTGCATCAGGCACTGAACTGTCTTATCACACCATAACTATGAAAACAGGTTATAATGATTGACAGGGACTTGATTGCCTGTCACATGTTACAGTGATAACTATGAAGTACTAAAATGGACCAAATGAATAAATGGTTTATTAAATAAATTAATATACCATTATACAATACAACAAGTACTTTAAAATACTTTTTGCATGAATTAGCACACTAGTTTGCCTGCCAAATTAAGTTTTTCTGTTTTTATTATTAGTGTTCTTTTTAAAATGTTTATTTATGTATGTAGGTATTAATCTATTTATGTTGATGAATTTTTTAAAATTCACGTTAGTTTCACCAAAGTAATTTCTGTTTTTTCTTTTGGATTTACTTTATAAGTGAACTAAGCGTGGAGTGGGATTACCTTTTGTAAGTAAATGTGTAAATAAGACTTATGCAAATGAAAGCGCTTATTTTCATAATGAAGCAGAAACGCATTCAAGAAAGTTACAAAACCTGATGAGGTTTTCTATAGTGGGTCAAGTAAAGGTCATTTGGGGATACTTAAATGTTAAAACAGCTGCCACTTTGTTACAGCTTTACCTCTATAATAGTAAAAAGTCCTCTTCAAACCACGAACAGAGCCAGAGATTTGCTGAGCTTACTCATTCTTCCTTTTACTTCCTTTTACTGCAGTAACCGCTTGCACATTCATATACGTTCAGGTCCACCCCCATACAGTTTGAAGCATATAATAAAGAACATTGCCTTTAATAAAATCTGAATTAAAATGTCTTCTGTTTTTAAAAAAAAAAACAACAACCTAGAATCGTGTCAATTAGTAACTGCCTAGATTTACCACTTCAAAGTTTTCAGTTACGTTTTGCTGACTTGTTGATGTTAGTTCCTCCTTTTCTGTAATGTCTGGGTCTGGGCCACTTTTCTGCAAAGCTGCCTGTCAGTAATTTTCCAGCAGGACTATTGCATCACATCCTCATATTTAAAGGTTCTTTCAAAATATGATCTTCTACATATAAGGAAAAAAATCAAATCAGCCACAGACACATATTCCTAATTGATTTATTTTTCCCCAGACCTGGTAAATATGACTTTTAGATCTCTAGCTTCGTAAAGTAATGACAGCCCACTATGTTAGTGTGTTGCAGAGTTTGTTTGTCAGTCATCAAAACGTCACAGGGGTCACATGAGACGCCATTTCCCATAGAGACAAGACCTGAAGAGTTCAAGGTTCAGAGCCTTACCGGAGCCCTTTTTCTTTCTGTGTGTGTGTGTGTGTGTGTGTGTGTGTGTGTGTGTGTGTGTGTGTGTGTGTGTGTGTGTGTGTGTGTGTGTGTGTGCGCGCGCGCTGTGATGATCAGTCTGGTTGGTTCCCTCAGGACGCACACTCGAACACACAGCGAGTGCTGAACTCAGCATGACGTCCCTTGCTGGAAACCAGCAGTGTTGCTCTGGTGGAGTCTTCGTGTTGTTAACCCAGTTTCTGGGAAGCATTGGATGTTTTCTTTGGCTTTTGGTATGGATGTGTAGCCGGGATGCTAGTGTGTTTCTTTGCTCTTCGATGGAACATGTTTGGCTCAGTGCTTTGAAGGTTGTCTTTGTAACGTGTGCATTTGTTTTTGTTTTTTTGTTTTTTTTAGAGTGGCTGAGTGGTCAGCATACCTTTTTAGAGATATCCATTTCCATTTGGTTGTGAACCATATATCCATTTTCACCAGGGATGCACCAGTTAGAAACCTGGGTGTTCGTTTTGCTGAAGCTTTTTCTTTGGAGGGACATTGGAGCGTTTTTCACTTGAGGAACATTTCAAAACATAGATCCATCGGGTCAACAAGTGAACTTGAGATGATAATACATGCTTTTGTCTCTACAAGACTTGACTACTGTAACAGCCTGTTTACCTATCTAAACAAAAAAAGGTCTAGCTCGACTTTGTCTGTACATACATACATCTGGACATTCAACAGTGGCAACAGGTGTGATGAAGTCCAAATTTAAGTTTTGGCTCAAATATTGTTTTCAGCTAATAGCTTTTTTTTGCCTGTCAAGCTACTTTTTCATAGAGTCAGCTAAAGATGTTATTTAAAATATATAATTTTTGCCTAGTCTGTTATAGGGTTGGGCGATTGGAGGAATATATCGACTATTAACGATATCATCGATAGTTTTTAAAAGGGCAATTTATTTATTTATTTGCCCATGAGTAAGTTTGCTAATAATGATAGAGCTAATAGAAGCTGTCAACAGGGGGAAAAAAAAATGCTTTTTTAATAGCACCCTCTTTCATCTGCGAGTAAATGCATCCTCCTCAGAGTGCACCCAAATGCTTGTTGATGGAGTTGCAGAAGCTGGTGATAGCCTAGCACAGCGGTCCCCAACCTTTTATGCGCCACGGACCGGTTTATGCACGACAATATTTTCACGGACCGGCCTTTAAGGTGTCACGGACGCTGAAAACGGATAAAAACCCTGAAAACCATACATTTCACACCTGACCCTCAACTCTCGCGGCCCGGTACCAAACGACTCACGTACCGGTCCGAGGCCCGGGGGTTGGGGACCGCTGGCCTAGCATACTCAGCCAGATGGTGGACGCGTATATGCCCATGTAAGTTAGTCGTGTTTGAGTACTTTTCTCGCACTATACATCTGCACAAGCGGCACACCGCTTTGATTACATCCTTAGGTTTACCTCTTTCATCTGGTTTAAAGCCAAAGAAATCCCAACTTGGCAACTTTACATGTTTTTAGTGCTGTCAGCGTTAACGCGACATCATCACGACAATGCGATTACCAATTAACGCATCTGGAGCGTAGACTGAGTCAAAATCCCTGAAACATCTCTGTCAATGCATTTCGGGCAGTTTATCCAAAGTTCCAGATGGGTTGAGCGCTTTAAAAATTTTAATCGTGATGACCGCGTTTAAGCCCCGTTAACGCTGACAGGGGTTTTTTGGGGGGGGATTTGTTCGGCCGTGTTTGAACTTCTTCTGTGTGGTAAACGTGCAAATCAGTCCGTGCATGATTACATTGTTCCGCCCATCAAAAAGTCTGTCTCGACTGTCGGACTGATGATGGCCAGCTGGAAAATTTTTACATATCGCCCAACCCTAGTGTGTTATGTGTAGACACAACAATGGTCTGGACTGGACTGCAAATGAGTAAAAAAAGCAAACAAATGTCCAAAGAAAAAATCGGAAAGACCTTTAGAAAGCCCTTATTTTCAGTGTGGTTGAACCATATCTACTGTAAATACTGTGTATCTCATAGAAATGTGATGGCTGTGTGTAGCAGTGAGATAACTGAATTCTCCTGAGTTCACAGCATTGTTGGCATCACTCGCTTTTAGTTCAGCGTCTCTTAATAGGGTTAAAGTGCAGTTAAAGTCCACGGTTAAGGCTATAAAAGTGTTAACTGGTAGTAATTCATTCGTTCGTTTAGTCGACTTTTATCCCCCCCTTTTTAAAAGCACCCCGTCTGAGGTAGAAAAGAGCTTTTTAAATTTCAAATTTCTTTCACGGCTTTTGTTTTGCCTGTAGGTCAGCGGTGCTTATCAGAGCACGAGCTGTTCGGCAATTGATATTCAAGAGGACTGCGTTCACAGAATGAATGGAGAGTAAATGTAACTCACAGCCTGACCCTGTTTCACAGCACTGTGTACCACACAACCTTTCTTCCTGTCAGCTATCAGGGTCCCGCAGCATTCAGGAGGTGAAAGATCTTGTAAACACACGTGATCTCATTTTTACGCAGTAATCTGCCTTCGTCAAGCAGCTACAGCTCACAAACCTTTAAAAACAGCTCAGCAAGTCATTAAAGACTTCCCAGGCAGATTAGCCAGTCATTCACTTCCTTCAACAGCCTTCGGGGCGCTCTGTTGGAGTCCAAAGGAGGGACTGTGGGCAGTTTTCAGTCTGAGTCGTAGCACCGATTGTGGATTTTAAGCTTTGGGAGTTTGAGGGGGGGCTGAGGAGAGATGCACTGGGAGTTCTGGACTAAGAAGCTGGATGAGGAGGATTTGATTGAGAATGGTGAGTTTGTGTCACTGAGAGTGTTTTCCTTTCAGCTCAGATTTTCTTTTTCTTTTCACTGCCAGTGTACTCTGCTCTCACGCTGTCATAAACAAGAAGTGTGCTTTAACAGAGCCGAGAGTTAAATAGTTTCAGCACAATCACTGCAACTACTCGGCAGTCATGTTCAGTGTTTTATCTACTGTCTTCTTTTATACACCAACTGTTTAAATTTGCACTAAATCTTAAAACCTCGACTTTGCTTTGCTTTGTTTTTCTGCTGACATCTTGAACTTTATGGCACCAGAGTTTAATTATTAAGACCATTTACGACCCATCATGCAGTGAGTCATGTGGTTGGCGTGCTGGTGTGTATGTCACTGTAATTGATACAAGACGCAGTCCAAACAATGGTCATGTCTCGGTGTGTGACTGTTTAAGGTCTTTTACACTCAGTCTGAATAAGTGTGTATTTGTATTATTGGGTGTCTCCGTCAGTTTTTGGTAATCAGGATCAAGATAGGATTGGATAAATTAGGACGTTTCTGTTTTACAGCATCCAAAACGTACAAAAGTACAACATGTACAATAATGGCTTAAACGAAGCAGAGTAAATGTGTAGTGCAATAAAATAACACAAACTACAAAATGACAAAAATGTCAATAAAATAAAAACTACACAGCACAAAGGCACTCGATTAAATACAAAAAATAAGGTAACTAAAATGTTAATAAAATGCAATAAAACACTTTATCATTACAGAAATTGATATGAAAATCTATAAAAATGTAAATAAAATGTTAAATAATAAAAATGCATTTTAGATGGATGAAAATTTGAATATAAAACAGCATGACTGTCAAATCTAAATAAAATGGATATGGATCTCAAGGAAAAATAAATAAAAATATAAATAAAATATTAAGTAAAGATAAAAAAATATATAAAATTGTTGAAATCTAAATAAAATACAGTAAATGCAGTAAATAATTAAATATGATAGCTATTGTATGTTGAATAACTTATCTAAAAAGCTAAATGTAATACAACACAGGCGTATTGCAAAGCAAATAGAAATAAGGTGTAAATGCAGTAAGAGTGTGTTTAATGGGGCTTCTGCTGCTTTTTCTTCTTCAGGACTTTGAGCAGGAAGAAGTGTTTGTTTTACAATCTGAATAAAACTGTTGGTGCTGTCAGTGCACATGGAGAAAGGAACAAAACCAAAATGTCTTCACACAGAAACAAATTGTTAACATTTCAGCCTGGGAGAGATCTGAGGATTAGGGCGAGGCCCTGGTTTGCACCACAGTTTGTGTCCAAGGCTGAACACAAGCAGAACAAAGCATAACACACTTCATGATTTTGAAAGTGTGAACTGTCAACAAAGTTGTTTTCTTTATTCTGAGATTTTTTTTTTCACCCAATCACAGTGCCAGGAAAGGAAAACAATTTAACACAGATGTTGCATTTCCACATCGTGTGAAGGACTCCGAGATGGACTTGGAAGCAGGGCGTTGAGCACAATATGACCAAGAACATTATTTATGTTTTGTTTTCACATTAGCAGACCATCACTATCAGGGTCATGGAGGCCTGCGGCCTGTTCCTGCACACAGTGTGCAGTATGGCTAATAAATGGCACGAGGGCGGGTACGATAAACCTTGAACTTGTTGTTGTTGTTGTTGTTGTTTTTTTAAAGATGAGTGATTATTACCACAGGTATGTCACAGGCTTCATTACCCTCAGCTGCCCTCTAACGTTGCAGAAAGGGATGTTTTGCATAACTTGAGACAGTGATGTCTATATCAGCGTTGTCAAACATAAGCCTCGGGGACCAGAATCGGCTTGTAAAGACTCTAATCCGGCCCACCGGACAGCTTTGGATAATGTAACAGAGGGCCTTCATTTTGGACTTTTAAGTGGATTTTCATAGCTTTTAGTGTTTCCTACTGATAAAGACCTCCATTGCCAGTCATACTACAGTAGTGCTGTAAATGTGCCAGTGAACAAGGCATTTTGACACCTGCAAGAAGGATTCTTGTCAGGAGTTTATATAAGTTTACAAACGGGGTCTCAAACCAGGCTTCTGGTGATTGGGCAAAACAATCCAGGTTAATACTTAACGACGTAGCTGTGGCTACAACTTTGCCTCTGCATGACAAACTGTGCCTTCTTTTTCCCCTTTATTAATTCACTCACCCATACTGGTGTTCCTCTAAACCATGCTGATACAAATATCAACAGATCAGTTCTGTTAATTCACCCTGTAAAACCAGTCTAACCTGTCAGCTCGGGTGTGTAGAATGTCCCTTTTGTGTTGTCGCATAATAACATTCTGCTGCTGTAGTGTTACAAAACGCAGAAATGTGAAGTAATCCTAAATCAGACCAGCCGTGGCTTCCTGATCACACATCAGAATCACAAGCTGGAATTTCACCACACTGCACTTCATGATCACCTGAGGAGAGCCATCTTCCTAACACTAATGTAAGTTCATGCGTACTGTGGGTTTTCCCCCCCTTAGTTCTCAGGGGTAGTTCTCTCCTCTGCTTTCCCAGTCATTACAATTATATTGCGCTCCGCATTAATACTCAAGTGAAAACACTTTTAATTTCAGCTCAGGCCATTGTTTTGGGCTCATAATAACACAGTTCCTCACTGCGTAAATCTGAAGGTCTCCCTGCGTTGTTTCCTGTTTCCGTTTGGATCTGTTTTTGATTGGTTGCTGCTGTCTGGATATGATTGCCTGTAGCGCCGACGCTGCCACGTACTCAGGCTCTTTTGTTCTGGAGCTGCTTGAGAGAATAAAGCAGAACTCTATCTCAGAGCCTTGTGTGTCTTTCCCTCAGACTTTCATCAATACAGCATTGTATAGGATTGGTGTTATCAAAATCATAGAAGCAGGCTACAATGCACTTTGCCCACAAAAGAGCAACAGGAAATGTTTTTTTCTTTTTACCCTTTTTCTTTGCTTTGTAATAAGACTCAGCAGTGGGGTTACCAGTCTTAGCATTTAGGCCTATGTGTGTCTGTGTGTTATTTTATACAGCAGTCAGATTTTGCTTGAGAGAAGGAGGAACTCATTTTGCTGCTGTTGACACATTCATCTTTGAAAAACAAGTGTTATTTCTGTAAGAAAGACATTTCTGTCACTCTTAAGCTTAAATGCTGTGAAGACTTTAATATATGTGAAATACTTAAGATTTTTTGTGGTACTTTCAAATTTGTGTTTTTTAAATGTAATATTTTTACTGTCTCCCAGGGTTTTAGCTGTCTTTGATCCAACACAGCTGATTTAAATTGCTACATTGCTACATTTAGGCCTGAATTATGCTTTAGCAGGAAATCTTACATTGTAACTTATGACGTAACCAGAAAGTCCTTTTAACCTTATGCCGTAACTTGACATGCTCCTTACAAGAAATGTAACTATACTACGACTTGAATGATCCAGAAGGTTGCAATGTAGGATTAAATCAGGTTTCAGGGTCACACAGGCATAGAGACCAGCTGACAACCTCCCAGCAGCCGCATGTCACTGAGGAAAATGTGTGATCCCTGGTTGGTTGACAAGTTGTAGCTGGAGGTTGCTTGATGTCGATAAGTGAATCAGTTGCAAAGAGGTTTGCAGTGCTGCACTGAAAAAGCTCCTTGAAGTTGCTTTGATCACAAAGCAGGTTGCCAGCGGTCGCCTGTAATTTGCCTAGAAGATGCTGACTTGTCTGCAAACACTCACTAACTGCTCACCAAGCTTTAGTGAAACAGTGGAAAGTGTGAAAAACAAGCTTATTTCTGACAGTGTAAGACAAACAAGGATTGTTTTGAACAGTTATTCATGCAAAGCTGCTCTGTTGGACTACGTGAATAAACATGTAGAGTAGAGCAGGGCGATATGGCCAAAAATATTTATCACGATATATATTTGAAAATTTGCGATAACGATATAACTGACGATATAATTGATGCGAGACAAAATACAACTCCACAACATTACTAGCGCAAAAAGACAACCTTCCATTTATTTTCACTTAAACAAGAAGCTGGTTTTTATGTACATTAAAGCTTTATAAAAATGTAACAGTGCAAATGCAAATTGCTTGCTGAAAGTTTAACCAAAAGGCATTTCCAGTAGAAATGGGCTGACATGTCCTGAGCATAACCATGTATAATATCCACTGAAGTTAAAAAGAGGTGCTTTGCAACATTAAACTGCAGTGTGCAGTACGCATTTTTCGGACCATAAGGTGCACGGGATTATAAGGCACATTAAGCGAAACAAAGCAGTCAGATAAATCAAACTTTATTAAACTCATTCTTCTTGCTTCCTCCACTTCTGTGCCATTGATTCATTAATGTTGAATTCTCTGGCAGCTGCTCTATTCCCATGTTGTTGCAGTATATTAATGACTAACCTCGTATTGTGGATGGATTATCTCAGTTGTTCTCCTGACTGAAGTTTGGTCCGTTTACAGCATCCTGCCATGCGATTGCATTTGTCTCTAACCATGAAGAACCTTCACGTTAACTTTTATAAGTGGAAAAGTGTTAGTGTTCGTCCTCCAGCTTCACTGTTTATGTTATGCTAACATAGCTGTGTCGCTAGCGATCACGTAGCACATCATTATATACCAGCTAGCCCAACTTCAGTAACCCTACAAACGTCACTGCTGTTTAGTTTCCTGTCTTCATTTATGTTGCAAGTGATAGCAGAGCTGTACGTTTGATTTTTTTCAGAACTCTCTCAGTCAGAACATGCAATATCATGCTTAGGTAACTAGCGAAACTAGCGAGCTAACTTCCGCTAGCTTCCTGCTAACTTCTAACTCCGTTAAATGTAATAACTTTTGTTTTCATGGATGCCTGGAAGTTAAACTTTATAGTTACACCTCGTAAAGCAGCAATGCTGATCGTTTTATTAAAGATGAAAGAATTTAGACAGTTTTTAACTCTCAGTGATGCTGCAGTGTTGTTTGACCTGAAGAATACGGAGTTTAGGACCCAGATTACTCCCAGATTTAAGAGCATCTTAGTCCGACAAATACGACAATAACAACGGCCGCTTGCATGTTCTGCAAAAAAATGTGCTTTGTCGTGTATCTGACGGACAAACACCAAACCAGTTCCACATCACTGAAGTTGCACCATTTTTACAAACCAATTCTGGATCATCTGTTTCACTCAACAATCGGCCATGTGCGTATGAAAACAAAGGCACTGCGCATGCGCGTTTTACTCCCATTCTATCGCGATATTTCATTTTCCTATCGTTGCCTAACATTATACCGGTATTACCGTGAACGGTATAATATGGCCCAGCCCTAATGTAGAGTCAGAATGAATGCAGAAGGTCCCCGGGAAAAGAATTGAGCGATAGTTTGTGTCTGTGTATTTCAAGTTACACCAACTCGGCACAATGGTGATGGTACATGTTTCTGAACAGCTTTTCTCTGCTTGTATATCAGAAACCTGAATTTCTACTCTTAGATTTACTGCAATTTGTGCTCCTAATGAGATAAACCTGTGGTCTTTCCTCTTCCTCCATCCTCAGGGCAGACCTATACTGATGTGCATTTAAATTGAGTTTCTCTGCTCAGTAAATGAAGCTAACACTGGTTATTCTAGACGAGTAAAGCTTTCTAATAAATCTTCAAATGTCTTGAATCTTGCAGTCCTGCTGATGTTGTGACAGCTAAAGCGGAAAGGTTATATTCTGTAAACATCAGTCTGTGGTCCCATCATTGCCTCATTGCAGGAAGTGCTGAAGCGACAGGTGTTTGAATGTGACTTCATTGCTCTGTCTCAAATGTACCTTCTGTTCCTTGCTTTCAGGAGTTTACGAGGAGAGTAACGGCACCAGCAGAACAGCCGGTATGAACGGTAACGGCCCCAGCAGGCTTGTTGACCCCCTGGAGGATCCGCTGCCTGGAGTGGGCACCTATGAAGACTTCAACACCATCGACTGGGTCAGAGAGAAGAGCAAAGACCGGGACAGGCACAGGGAGGTAAGGAGGAAGGATGTTTTTGGGGGGAGTTAGATGAATTTCGCTATCATACCTATAACAAGATGAGGAATTTACTCTCTGGGTGCCAAAGCAAGCGTCAGTTCAAGGTCAATTTTCTTTTGGTAGATCTGGGTCCGTCAAATGGTGTCCAAATCAAAAATACAAATGATTACTGCTTCGTTTCCTCGTGTTTGGTGCGTCACTGTTCGTTGCCTCAGTGAGTCATCTTCAGATCACTTATAAGTGGTCCACAAAGCTCCCGAACAACTACTTACTCAGTCCTCTAAGTGATGCTATTGGGGATCTATTTTGTCATCTTTGCACTCTCCCCATGAAGTTGTTTGACAGATATGTTCATATGCCTGCTTACATTAGCAAACTCCTGCATCCATGGGTTTGGTGTTGGTTCATCGAGGTGCTCTGATCAAAGCTCTTATTGGTTCCTGGTCCTAGACTGAAAACTAAAGAAGGCTTTGTGTTTGAGTTTGCGGCTTCTAAACTTACATTAAATGCACTACAATGTCATTTGATACCTGTGGACTGGATTTATTTATTTTTTAAATTTGTTTATGATTGTGAATCACTTTGATCTCGATCTGTTGCTTGTTTTATTTAGCATTATGTGGGTTGTTTATGTATTGCCACACTTTTTAGAGTAGAAACAGGGACGATGGAGGTTATGTGCAGATGTAGCTTGGACTTCATGCCTTATTACATGAGCCGTCAATACAGCAGCACATGAGATAAATGTACTTAAATATAACTCGTCACTTTTTGTCTTGACCAGCTGTATATTTTCAGAGGTCTCAGCGTCATTCAAATGACTTTAATGTCATGTTTTTAGGATACGGAAGAAATTTTTCACTTTCTCATTTCTTTCATTTCTCCGTTCATCCAGATCACCAATAAGAGCAGACAGTCCACTGTGGCCCTGCTGCACAGCATCAGTGATGCCTTCTCAGGGTGGCTGCTCATGCTGCTGGTGGGACTCATGTCAGGTACTCCACACACTCATCCCCACACATACATTTATTAATGCTTTATTACCACAGTTGTCTTCAATAACAGGTAGACACAATCATAAGGAAGGAAAAGCAAACTAACTCCAGATGCTGTGAATTGAAAAACACACTGCAGCATAAAGTATGCAAATTCTTTATACGCTGCCGTTTTGAATTGGGTGTCTCGCACATAAATTGTCCCTCTTAAGTGCAGCAGCTCAAATTCTGAGTGGTTATTGAAATGTTATCATATCTTTGCTGAATTTGGGACCTCAGGTCCTGAGCAGTAGGGAGACAAAGTTAAAGAGGCAAGGCTGAGATGCTTTGGGCTTGTCCAGATGAAGGATAGTGGATATACTGGACAAAGGATATTAAAGATGGGGATCAGTAATTAGAAGTGAAGGAGGACATGCAGATGGTTTGTGTTACACAGAAGGATGGCGGGGATTGGGTGAGATGGAGGTAGATTATCTGCTGTGGCAACAGACTTTAGGGCACTGCTCTTAAAAACACAGTTATTTAACTGATCTTCCCAGGCTTTCAGGCTTCTGAAGCACTTTGATGGAAAGCGTTTGTACTTGCTCAGACTTTTTCTCTTGTTTCATTGCTGGCTGCATCAGCTGAACATTATATCCCATGGGTTGACAGAAAACGGGTTTAGAGCCGCGACGTAGCACGAGCACAGCACTGAACATATGCGGGGCGGCACCTATCTAAAGGAAATGAATGTTAGCAATGTTGGTTAAAAATCTTTTTGTTGACCCTTTGGGTTGTAAACTTGTTCAGATTACACTGATCCACTTCTCTGACATTTGGTCGCACTCAGATATGCATAATAAAAATAATAAACGTTATCTATATAGCACCTATAAAAACAGAACTCTGAGTTATGCAGAGTACTCGGAGGCTAAATTCAAACAACCATAAAAGTCGAGATTGTTAAAACAATAAAGGGAAAATGTAAGGCGCAAACCAGGCAATCACAATAAATTGTGTGATTCCATGGAAAAGCACAGCGTTCTTCAGGCCCTGTGCAATAACGTGAGCGTATCTAATAAAACAAAACTGTGCAAAGTTTGACTAATGTCTATGACATGGGGACCTGGATATTTTATGTTTTCTCATGATTCACTGGAGGAAACTTCAATAACCTGCATTTTGTGTAAATTGTACCATCATGTGGGTGAGACGTATCAGTCAAAATAAAATTCTCCTCACTTACATTTTAATACCAGGCTTATCTTCTAGCCCAGATTTGTTCTGTCTCAAAAACTCGTTTTAAAACTCATCATTGTAGCTTATCTCAGTGAAAATGGAGAGCACTGTTACTTCTGTTCCCTTGCTACTGCTAAGACCTCAAGCAAGGAACAGAAATAATAACGTAGACAAGTTAAGGCGGTAACCGGACAATAAAAGGCTGTAAAAGACAGCATTACTTGTATTGAGAGGACAGAATACAAGTCTATATAAAGTGAGTTTAAGATGAACTTTAAAGGAGGTCAAGGATTTGGCCTCATCTCCTCAGGCCGTTTGTTCCGAAGAAGAGGAGCACGATCTGTTTTAGACTTGAAACAAATGGAGAGTCTGCTGAAGCCAGTGTTTCCACAGTGTGTCTTTCTCGTGTCCTCCCCTAACCCTCCAACTGGCCACAGCAGATGGCTGCTCCTCCCTGAGCCTGGTTCTGCCAGAGGTTTGTTCCTGTCAAAAGGGAGTTTTTCCTTCCCACTGTCACCGAGTGCTTACTCATAGGGGGAGCTGTCTGATTGTTGGGGGTTCTCTCTATTATTTTAGGGTCTTTATCTTACAGATTTTTCTTTCTTGTTGTCTTTCTTCTCAACTTTTTCAGGTGCTCTAGCCGGCGGAATCGACATCTCAGCCCACTGGATGACGGACGTGAAGGGAGGGTTGTGTCTCCGAGGCTTCTGGTTCAACCACGAGCACTGCTGCTGGTTGTCTAACGAGACCACGTTCCAGGAGAGGGACCGGTGTCCACAGTGGCAGAGCTGGGCTGAGCTCATAACAGGAAAGTCAGAGGTAGGAGAAGATTTTAAAACTTTCTGCTGATTTTGATGCGTGCAATTTCTAGTTGGTAGCAGTTGTTATTCTCAGAATTGTTTTTGAGGGATTTTCTTGGCTCCAAATGTGTGAATGAAGTGTAATCCCAAGCCTTGAGTTTGAGATTTGTTGACTGTTCCTCAGGCTTCAGTGCTGCTATGGCTCCATCTACTGGTTGAAAACTGTCATGGTGCAAAATCTAAACCACTGTGACTTCAGGATTTCCACAAAACGAATCCCTGCTTAGTTATTTATGTTGTGTTTATTTATTCATTTTTCAGAAATCATTTGTCACTTCGTGTGTGTGTGTGTGTGTGTGTGTGTGTGTGTGTGTGTGTGTGTGTGTGTGTGTGTGTGTGTGTGTGTGTGTGTGTGTGTGTGTGTGTGTGTGCTATTTGTGCCTCTGCAGGGTCCCTTTGCCTACATCATGAACTACCTGATGTACATATTTTGGGCTCTGATGTTCTCCTTCTTGGCTGTCATACTGGTCAGAGCCTTTGCTCCGTACGCATGCGGATCAGGAATACCAGAGGTAAGGCTGCACTCTAAACAATAATGGTAAACCATCACAGTTTTTAACTGACTCGTTATATTAATGGTTTAAATCACTTTTTCCCCACTTTATGTTGTTGCTTTTATTTCATCTCTTATTTAGTTCATAGGCCACTTACAGCCTGTTTTGACATCAGGAATAGTTGGACCACTAAGACTGTTAGATAATTAACTATAGAGGCAAAAAACACCTTCAGGAGATTCTCTTCTCTTTCACTATAAAGAAAATTCTAAAAATTTAAAAATGTAACCTAAAAATGTCATATTTAATAAATCTTTAACATATAAATGTAAAGAAAAGCAAGCCATATAACAGCTCTGTTTTTCCACACTGCTGTAATAAACCAGTGAAATCCGTCACCCACAGCTCCTTAATCTGACACAGATTTGTAAAATTACAGAAAGGTAGAGGGAGCTTGTTACCCAAACTTTGAACTGACTGTTTCAATGACATTTAAAAAGAAGAAAATGTTTTGGACCCAGTGTTTTTTCTTTTTCTTTTTTTCTTAAACAAAGAACAAACACAGTTTCTTTGGTTCATTGACGGCAGCAATCCCTTAAGTATTGTCCCCAGCCCTCTTGTGGGCCTTTTAGGTACTGCAGTCAATTCAATATCATTAAAATAATTTGGGATTGGTTCCAAAATCAGATTTTCCTATTGAAATGTTCTTTTAAAATCCCAGAAGATTTTTTTTAAATTTAGATTTTGTAATAAATGTAAAAATGAAGACCGTTCAAACCGTTGGCTCAGAATTGTGAGGATTTGATATCCATGATCAGGGGTCGGCAACCTTTCTGATGACGAGTGCCATTTAAAATTTCCTCAGAGGTCAGTGTGCCATATGATTGCATTAGCAATAAATTTAATAACGCTCTATATTAACAGTTACACACTATATAGAACCACTTCATACAATTATATTTGTTCGCAGATGTTGGCAGCTATCAGCGAATAGTTATCAGCTATTTTGAAACAAAAAAAAAAGACTTTTTATCCATAACAGCAAATGGACTGTACAACAGAAAATACAAATGCTATTTATGGTCTCCTCACAACAATGATAAGAAAAATAAACTGGGCCAGTATGGCATGTTTGATAATACAGAGACACACATGTTAATCTGATCTCTGGTCTCCCACTCAGAGACACAGGTCTCCGAGTGTCCAGCATTCAGACACATATGTGGAGTCAAATACTGTCAATAAGGCCTCTGCAATGTTCTGAAGACAGTTAAACTTGTCAGGTAGTGATGTCCAGCAGGTGAAAATGCAGCTCCATGAACACGCACAGCTGTGGATTCCAGCTGCTTCCATGTTGCGTTAACTGGCATTAACTCAGCCAGTTAATGTGAGACAAACCCAGCTGCTCATTAAAGATTTCTGGTTTGATCAGAAAATAAAACATTGGTCCAAACACCTGAAAGTCCCAAACATGCATTGTGTCTCGAGTCTACGGATGCATCCGTGTATCTCCGTGCTGATGCTGTGCTGAGCGAACAGCTCCTGAAGCTTTTGAAGTGTCAGAATGTGGAAAGCTAACAACGACCCTCTCACCAGTAGGCGAAGTTATTTTTAGCCAATTACAAGTTGAATCTGGTAGTTGGGGTTGTTAGCTAAGATACCGTCATTAAGAAGCGGCACAACTAATGTGTCTATGCGAGCTGATTTGCGATGTGCACCGCTGGCGTGGCCATTTATTTTTTGATGCACCCTCTCAGATTAATTCACTGCGTGTCGTGCCCAGGGCTGGACTGGGACAAAAAAACAGCCTCTGGCATTTTGACTACAGACCGGCCCACCAGGTATTAAAGCCATAAAGCCTTTGAATGAAAGCAAACACTGTTGTGACAGTGATGTACAGTCTTGTTGGTATATGTATGATTTCTATACATTTTACATCAGATAAAAACTTTGGTTGTAAGCTTCAGATAATTATTTAATAACAGCCAGACATTTCAAAATGAGAATAAGAAAGAAAAGTATTTCTTTGTGCCCCTTTTCCCTGTTAATGCCCTACCTGCCCCCTGGCAACACTTTGCTAGACCCGCCCCTGCACAGTTACCAGCTGTCAGCTACGTAAAAAAGGATCCTGGTGTTATTTGTCTCTCAGAAACAGTTCATAACTTCAACTCATTCATGTTAACTAAAAGGTAAACCTGTTTCTCCATCACCTGTTCAGCTCTGATGATTCAGTAAGGACATCTCCTGGTTTCATCTTCATGTTTCCCTCTCACCAGATATACAAACCGACATCATGACCAGCAGCTTTACAGCTGTGGCTCCAGCAAACATCAGCTGATACTGGAAATTAATATTAAATAAATTCTAACAACAGCTGATCAAGCTTAAACGTGCTGCTGTTGTTTAGCGCGACATCCGCTGGTTTCCTCTTTCTGGCGCAAAGTGGGCGATAAACAAACGAGAGAAAAGCTGATCAGCTGATCATTGATCAGTTTCATGATTGAAGTAGCAACAGGAGAGAGAGGGTGAGAGAATGAGAGAAGAAGAGGCAGCTGTGCAGCGTAAACACACAGAATAAATCCAGCTGTGTGTCTTTTTCATTGTAGCTGAAGTACGGGACAAACTGTTCCTTTTCAGCTCAACACGAAACGCGTAATAATTTCTCTGAATGCAGGACGATTCTGTCTTTTTACGGGACGGTTGGAAACTCTACTAACTAAAGTTCAACATCAGTAACATCATAACACCCACCCAGCTGTATAGAAACTCCATCATGCTAGCTAGTACGCAGTATGAGTTATTGTAACTGACTGTAAAAAGTCAGCACAACGAAAATAAACTCCACCTAAATTTTGTTTGTATCATCTGACCCAGACAGACTGCAGGTCATAACTTCTTACCTGAAGTTCAGTTCACCTGACACTCGGACTGGCAGCTGCCTCAGGTCTCTCCTCCTCCTGCCTCCCCTTTCTCTCATCCACCTGCTGGCCTCCACCACTTGCTAATGTTACTGAATCTGAGGAAGCTCCACCACAGCCACCACCAAACAACTAAGTTATTTTTACACACCGGCCAGCATCTGACCAATCCACCACCTTTCATTGTTTATACCGTTAAAAAAAAAAAAAAAAAAAATCATCAGGCCACCGAGCAAATGCCCGATGGCCAGTCCAGCTATGGTCGTGCCATCAGTTAACCCTTCGCGTGCCCAGGGTTGCCGACCCCTAATCTACCATGATGGCTAAAAGTTTTGGCAGCGGCACTGGTTTTGGGTTTCATAACTTTACAGTTTCATGTTTCAGAATTTAGTTTTTCACGTTTCTGTTCTAGTGAAGAACAAGTACGAGTATTTCATAAGCTTCAAAGTGGTTTATAGTCAAATAAGTCAAACTTATGCAGGGAGTTGGTGTTTCCAGTGTTGACCCATCTTGATGACAGTCCACTGCAGCCTTAGAAGCCTCACTGGGCTCCTGCTTGCCCACCTGCTTTTTAAAAAGAGGCCATGCTGAAGACTTGAGGCACTGATTAAGCAGACATCACTCAGGATTTGGCCCAGAAGAGAAGCGAACTACAGAAGAAGGGTCAAAACTGTTAACACTGACTCTTTGCATAAATTTGATTTATTTGCCACTAAAAGTCTTTGAAACCTATGAAATGTTTTTCAGTGGTTAAAGTGGGAGCTGTCATGTTGGGGTGGTGCAGCATGAGAACAAGAATTACTTAGACGCTTCATTCATAAACACATCAACAACAACAACAACAACAACAAAGAAGAGTTGCTCGTTAATGCTGCTCCTGTTCAGTTGTAGGAAACTTGGTATATTCACGTACTTAGAGTGTTTTTCTTTTTAATTTTAATAAACACCAGGTCAACTAGTTCTGCTTCTCCTGTTCCCTGTTCTTCCCGTCCATCTGCCTTTGTTTACTCTCCTGTTCGCTCCGTTTCTTTCATTCTTCATTTCTGAGGAGGTGAAAAGCCAAAGATTTGCTTACACTCTGGAAAGCCAAACATTTTCTCACTGGATTCGTCCATTCTAGAAAAAAACGAAAACAAAAATACACCAGCTTCCTCCAAATCCAAATATTATCCTGCTCACTACTCCTCTCAGTTGAAGAACTGTTTAATTTTGTGGAACTTGAATCGTTTTCTCCCAACACTCTCGTTTCTCAAAGGTCAGCAGGGCCACGCACGAGAGATTAACCACTTATTTGAAAGAAAAATATCAAAACGCAAACCTCATTTCTCTCCTTGGGCCCTCCTTCTGTGTTTACACTCGCTTTCTTGTGGTTATACACTCAGACAGGCGTATCTAAACTGAACCCTCCCTAACATAAACATATCCTCATCTTCTCCTTGCACATGCAAACAAACCCACCCACTCTCACCTCCGTCTTCCTCAGATTAAAACCATCCTCAGTGGCTTCATCATCCGGGGCTACCTGGGGAAGTGGACCCTGATCATCAAGACCATCACCCTGGTCTTAGCCGTCTCCTCCGGGCTCAGTTTAGGGAAGGAAGGCCCTCTGGTCCACGTCGCCTGCTGCTGTGCTAATATACTCTGTCACCTGTTCACCAAGTACCGCAAGAATGAGGCCAAGAGGCGAGAGGTAAGCAGGGGTGACGCCGGTGTTGTTGGAGGAGTTATTGCGGGTTTTTGGGGAAACTTGACAGGAAAGACGGTCATCAAGAAAAAAAACCGTACAAGCAAAATATTGCAATAGCTAAAGACCAATAGTACAAGGCTGTTGACCTTTTACATTTATGCAGATAAATTGATCTGTTACATGAAAGTCCAACTTGGAAATGATATTTTAAACCACACTGGTTAATCATGCAAGTCTTAAATTGGAAGCAGACCTCAAAACAGGAGCTTTTTATATAACCTGGCAACTCACACCTGATAATTTTGGATGGGTAAATGGAATTAAGGAGATCTCTCAATGAGAGAAAAATAATGTGACTGTCCAGAATATCTACTCTTTTTGCAGAAATATATTTTTCACATATTCTCTAGTTTAGATTAAATTGATGGAAAAGACAAAGTTTCTGATTGAAGCTTTAAATTTTTCACATAAATGGGAACAGCAGTGCTTTTCCTGTACTGCCGTTATCCCTTTAATCTGCACGTGATCAAGTTTGACGGGCTTGATCACTTGATTGTTTTGTTGGGCAAGACAGTTGGTACAGTCTCTCCCTTTTTTTCTCGTCTCTACATGTAGGTGTTATCAGCGGCAGCAGCAGTGGGCGTGTCAGTGGCTTTTGGAGCTCCTATTGGAGGAGTCCTGTTCAGTCTGGAGGAGGTGGGTAGAGCTTATGATGCGTTTTCCACTGTTTTCTATCATTTGTCTGCAGATTCTCTGTATCTGTATTTCTGTGTCAGAACAACACCTGCAGTGCCGGCTGTTTTATTACTCCACAAATACCTGATTTGAATTGGGTTTTTAATTGCTTTCCACTTCCTGTCACATTTCATTTAGTTTAAAATTGTTATTTTTGATTCAGTTGTGTCTAATTTGGTTTCCAGAGCTTGCTTTGTTTTTATTGTTTAAAGATGTTTAAAGATGAGTGAGATATTTGAGTCTCGCATAAACAGAAGCAGTAAAAGTTTTCTTGGGATGGTTGTTTTGACAATCTGAGCAAAATTGGAAAAAGACAACATTTTAAAAACGAGGAGAATAATGTCTTATTTTGTTTTAGTTCGTTTTGTAAATACAATTTTTGGTTGAGCCTAGTTTTTATATCTTTGTGTTTTCCATTCAGTCCAGTTGTAGTTATTTTGTTTAGGTTTGGGGTGAGGTGTAGTGAGGTGTAGTGAGCTCCGGCTTTGCCTCTCTCTCATCAATAAATGTCTCTGTCCGCCTCTCTCTCCTCCAGGTGAGCTACTACTTCCCCCTGAAGACTCTGTGGCGTTCGTTCTTCGCCGCTCTGGTGGCGGCCTTCACCCTGCGCTCCATCAACCCGTTTGGGAACAGCCGCCTGGTGCTCTTCTATGTGGAGTTTCACACGCCGTGGCACCTGGTGGAGCTGGCCCCTTTCATCCTGCTGGGGATCTTTGGAGGCCTTTGGGGGGCGCTGTTCATCAAGGCTAACATTGCCTGGTGCAGGCTTCGTGAGTAGCGGTGACATATCTGTGACGTATTTTTCTTTCCTTTGTGTCTCCAACCCATAAATTAACTTCTCCACACACCTCACAGGTAAAACCACTTGTCTGGGTCACTACCCCGTCATCGAGGTGCTGGTGGTCGCCGCGCTGACCGCCTTGCTCGCCTACCCCAACAGTTACACCAGGATGAGCGGATCCGAGCTCATCTCGGAGCTCTTCAACGACTGCTCCCTGCTCGACTCGTCTCAGCTGTGCGGCTACAAACAGGTCAGCCGATAAATCGCTGCATCAGGATACTGCAGTTTTTCACGTGATTATTTAACCTTGCTGAGCTATCTAATATATCTTTATATATATTTCTTGTTCTTCTCTCTCGCTGCTTCCTTTCCCCCTCTTTCTGTCTCCATGCGTATCTTTCTTTTCCTCACTCGTGCTCGCAGCCAGCCAACACGTCAGACACAGGTGTAGATAACAGCCTCGCTGACCGGCCAGCGGGACCAGGCCTTTACACGGCGCTGTGGCAGCTGGCCCTGGCCTTGGTCTTCAAGATGATGATCACTGTTATTACATTTGGCATGAAGGTTTGTGAAGAGACACTCAGCGGTCCGCTTTGAACTCCTCATCAATGAGACATTTATTGTTATTCTCCCCATGGTGTAACATTGCATGTAAAAAGCCTACAAAGGCAGCTGCCTTTAATATATCTGGAGCTACATTTGATCAAGTTTCCAGCGTTCATTCACTCGTGTTACCCATTTGGGAATTTCGATGGATGAAGTAAGTGATTCTGTAAATGGTTTTCTGCGATTCATATGCGATGTGAATCCCCGTCATGTGGCTCGCTGAGGAAAGAAATGAATATTGTTTTCTAGAAAACGCAAAAGTCCCTTTGGTAACGAAGCTAAAATGAATTGGCTGAAAATGCCTGTGGAAATGTTTTAATTAGAGACAATCTTGTCTGAGATGGTGATGTGCATCATGAGGTTCTCTGATGGGGAAAAGTTGGGAACATAACCAGCATCTGGGAGGAAAGGCCCTCTTTTTGACTTATTGGATTAAAAGCTAACACAAACTGAACTGTTAGATGCACAGAGGTCTGGATGGATATTTTTAACTGGTTCTGTCCGTGCAGGTTCCCTCTGGTCTCTTCATTCCCAGCATGGCAGTTGGAGCCATAGCTGGCAGGCTGCTCGGCGTTGGCATGGAACAGCTGGCCTACTACAACCACGACTCGGTTATCTTTAAAGGGTGGTGCTCTCAGGGGGCAGACTGCATCACGCCGGGGCTTTACGCCATGGTTGGAGCTGCCGCTTGTTTAGGTGAGACATGGATGTCTGTTTCCTGAGTGTTTGCTTGATTTAAACCACTGTGTGGTTGGGTGGAGGGTGAGAAGGGTGTCGTCGGGAGGATTGAGAAGTGACAGAAGATACTGGACAGAAAAGCGTAAAGCAAGAGTGGCGGTGAAGTCTCAGAGGCTGTTTGGGTTTAGATTTAGGCTGTTTCGTAGTAATATGCTAAACATGCTCTTCTACCAACATCCTGAGTCTGACATGGAAATGTTTTAGGATATATAGAAAGCAGCTGGATGTGAGAAGGCTGAAGGACTCCTTGGTCCACACCAGAGGAAGCCATTCCATGAATCTTTGTGTATGACTTTATCTATCCAGTTTATTATGGTCTGTAAATGATTCGAGGTGCCTGACATTGCAAACAGTCACTTAAAGGAGCTTTACATTTTAATTTAAATCCACCCTTCAGTCTATCCATCCATTGTCCTTCCACTTGTCTCCTGAAGTCGGGTCACAGCGGCAGCAAGCTAAAATTTCCAGTTCCTCCTGAGGGATCCCAAGTTGTTCCCAGACCAGACAAGATATGGGTTTACCCCCCGATCTCGTCTCAGTTACGCATGCGCTGAAAACATCCAAAGGAGACATCCTTACCAGAGCCTCAATCCGCTTCATCCAGCTCCTTTCAACAAGTAGTAGTAGTGGTTCTCCTCTGAGATCCCTCTGGATGTCTGAACTCCTCACCCTGCCTCTAAAGTTGGCCCCAGCCACAGCAAGGAAGAAACTAATTTCAGCCACTTGTATTCACAAGTTTTCTCTTTTGCTCATTATCTGTAATTCATGACCATAGGTGATGGTTGGGGCATAGATGAAAGCTTCACGAAAGACTCGGCTCACTCTTCATCGCGACAAACAAGTTCATTGCACCAGTCCGCCCGTCCAACTGACACTCCTCCGTCACATTACTCGTGAATAAGATCCCAAGATACTTGAAGTCCTTTGCATAAAACAATCAGACAATCCACTATAAGCAGGCACCAGGTAATGGCAGGAAAGAAGGAAGGCCATTTTTTCTAAACAGGAAGAAATCTCAGGCTCTGTGACTGGAATCCATCTGCTGTGATGGGGAAAAACAGACAAAACACAACTCTGTGGAAGAGAGAATATAACAGTTAATAATTAAGAATGTATGAATGGATAGACGGAGCAGACGGGTGTCTGTCGATCAAAAACCAAAGGGAATGTGTGCAGTGTTTTCTTATATTAGTCCCCAGTGGAAGCATGAAAAACACGTCTTGATTTTTGCTCGATAATCCAGGTAAGGAAGCTTCAAAAAGTTCATTCTGAAGTTCCTCCAAACTGTGCTGTTTATAACGCTGGCCAAACTTCACTTGGATGAGTAATTAAACATTTCTCCTGCTGAAAAAGCTCCATCCAGAAGAACAGAGTCAAGTTTGTGGCTTGTGTAGCGCAAAAAATATCGGCCCCTTGTGGGACTCCGTGGCCAACATTTGTGTGCGGGGAAGGCTCCTTGCTTACAACAAACTGGAATCTATCAGATACTTATGAATCACGCCAGCTCAGCACATGGCCTTTAATAGTAATAATGCTTTTTAGTCACTGTTATAAACATTTGGTCATCAGTGGTAGCTCAACCCTGCACTGGTGAAACGAGACCCTACAGGTCAACAAAATATCAGTGTTTCAACACTGATGACTGATTATCTTTTTTTTCTGAAGCAAATCCAAAAATTTCTTCAATTCAAAATCTGCCACTTCCCTTATTTATTCTTTTAGAAAAAGATTTTCGAATAAAACTGGTTCAAAAATGCTGCATTGGCACATTTAACCTTGTTTTATTGAGATAAAAGTACCTATTTAAATACAGAAAAAGCTTTACAGAGCGATTGTTTACTACACATCATCTGGTGTTTAATACACCACAGATTTATAGCTGTTTATTAAATCAGTTTTCTCTTCAGTTCATAGATGTCACATGTCGTACACACTTCAGGTTTCTGATATTAGCCATTACTTTTCATGTGCAGTAAATTGTTTTAACGCTTGATGATGATGATGATACAGTTATCATTGTTTTCCCTTTCCCTTCTCTTTTGTCTAACTAAACATAGCACAGAAAAATGATGCTGATGGGTTATCGTTCTCTTCACAGAGAGGTGTCTAGTCTAAAAACAGATGTTTAATTCTTCGCACAAGAAGAAAGTTTGAGGGTAGCGAGCCGCGTGTTTTATAGATCTGGGACAGAGTTTAAAGAGAGGTTTCTTGTTTCTGAAATATGTCTCTGTAATATATGCACACACTACACTTTATGATAGTGCTCATAAATAAAATATCTGGCAGTGAAAGAGATCTCATCTGATTTAAGAAAGCCAGAGATTTCATTCCCTTTACTACACTGTGGTTTGTCTCTTTGCATTTTCCTCAAAGTCTCTTTCACAACACAGGGCAACAGCATTTACACACAGGAGTCTCCACTCTTGACCGCCTCAGACTCTCATGTGCTGCTGTTATTCTTGTTCACAAGTCACCATTATGGGATTGTGCCATCGTAGCTGCTCTGTGGAGCTGTTTGAGCTGCAAACATTCAAACCCAGCATACGCCAGTACTTGGATCTCTATACGTTTACTTATTTTGCTGGCAAAATACATGCTGGCACTAAATACATTCCTGATGATCTGGTACAGCAATGCAAATAGAGATTGCTCGTAGAGCCAAAACTAAAACAAGGGTAGCTACTTTCAGTTATTACACAGTAATAACACACTGCCAAATACTCTGAACCAGCTGAGTGTCTAGATAGAAAATGCTCCTCCTTGAGTTTTCTTCCTGTTAACTTTTTCCCTCAAACAATATTTGATGACTTTCCCTGTACCCTCAATGACGATGTTTGACACCTCAGTGCGTATAAATAAAGACGTGGTTTGGCGACTTTTACAGATTTTTCCCGGGGGGGGGGTTGCATAATCACAAACCACCTTTACTAATATCTGATGCAAATCCAGTCATTTATTCTTTAGTCAGGCCTGAAATATGGCAGAAACCTTTAACCTCCTAGGACCTGGAGTCCACATATGTGGATGTCGCAATTTGGGCTGTCTAGACCAAAATACTAAATTTCGCTCTACAAGGGCCTGATATCCACTTAGAAGGACATTATACCGCCACTGTTCTATTGAAATTTAAAATGAATGTCCTCTCATGTGGATCTTACTTTTCTCAGAAACAAAAAGCAGGTAAAAAAATAAAAATCTGGTAATTCTTTGTTTTTACATTCATCAGGTCCCAATCAGCCCAAATAGCAAAGAGAAATTAAAAATGCATGCCATGAAAGAGTTCGGGTCTTAGGAGGGTTCAGAGGAGAGCTTCTAGGGTCTTTCCTAGTAGGCTTTCAAAACATAAAGAGTGAAAAGGGAGTTCTTCCTTCTCACCATTCCCAAGTACTGCTCTGAAAATTTGGATTCTCTATTGTTCTGTGTTTTGGTTCTATGGTTACTACTTGTGTGTTATATAGTTTCTACATATACAGCATGAGTGGCTGGAAAGAAACAGAATTTCTACACGTGTGAGACTCATTCTGTTGTTGAAACAGCTGGATGTTATGTACATTTCACATGAGGAGAATCAGGTCAGGACGCGTGCTGCAGTAATCCTTTCTCACGTTTAGCACAAACAGCAGGAGGTAGTCCCACTTCAGACGCGTTCACGCCACTGGAAGGTGAGGCAGCCATCTGGATTAGCTAACAGTGCGCGCGCCACCCTGACTGCAGCTCGATTAATCAGAATCAGAATCAGAATACTTTATTGATCCCTGGGGGAAATTATTTTTTGTTACAGTGCTCCATTTTAAACCAACATTAAGACAAGACAGACAATACGCTAACTAAGAATAGTACAATATATACATATATATACATACATACATACATAAGTCACTTATAAATAAATAGTTGGAAAAGAAACATGTGTAGCTGTAGCAGCAAACAGTGTGTTAAGTGGATGCGTTGTACAGGGAGATGGCCACAGGCAGGAATGATTTCCTGTGTCGTTCAGTGGTGCTTTTCGGTAATCTCAGTCTCTCACTGAACGAGCTCCTGTGACTGACCAGCATGTCGTGGAGTGGGTGGGAGGTGTTATCCAACATTGTCTTTATCTTGGACAGCATCCGCCTCTCCGACACCACCTTGAGGGAGTCCAGCTCCATCCCCACAACATTGCTGGCCTTACGGATCAGTTTATTAAGTCTGTTGGCATCTGCGACCCTCAGCCTGCTCCCCCAGCATGCAACAGCATAGAGGATCGCACTGGCCACCACAGACTCATAGAAAATCCTCAGCATTTTCTGGCAGATGTTGAAGGACCTCAGTCGCCTCAAAAAATAGAGACGACTCTGGCCCTTCCTGTAAAGTGCTGTGGTGTTTTTAGCCCAGTCCAGTTTATTGTCAATGTGTACTCCAAGGTATTTATAGTCCTCCACAATGTCAACACTGACCCCCTGGATTGAAACAGGGGTCAAGTGTTTCCTGGTCTTCCTGAAGTCCACGATCAGTTCCTTGGTCTTTGCCACGTTGAGCTGCAGATGATTCTGCTCACACCACGTGACAAAGGAGTCGACCACAGCCCGGTACTCTGTCTCATCATCCCTGCTGATGCATCCAACCACCGCAGAGTCATCAGAAAACTTCTGAAGATGGCAGGTCTCTGTGCAGTGGCTGAAGTCTGTGGTGATTACTAATCTTACTTGTTTTTTGGAAAAACCTCTTGAAGTGATGAAATTAATCTTGTTAGATTTTTGTGGTACATAATCACAAAAAAATCATCAGTTAATAATTTAAATGTGTAGAAAAAAACAGGAAGAAAAGTTTTTAATCCTCTGAAAGGGGAAAAAAAGGATATACAACACTCTTAATAAAGTCTTTGACATGCAGCTGTTTTGTGGCAGTTGTTTTGAAGAAAAGCACAGAGTTGAAAACGTAGCCTTGGCTTTCTGGCCACATCTGAGGTCGAAGATGATGATAATTGGATTCAGACTTTACCAGCTGATGTTAGTGGCAACAGTGTCATACAGAGAGGAGATGAATGGTCTGAGCTCTCGGGTAGAGAAATAGATGTGCCACTAAATGCCTCTGTAAACTCGATGAACAGCAGCGCGGTCTCTGTTATATGCTCACCTTATGTGCCCTCTGTTCTCTAATTGCTCTTTTTCTTTTTGCCTGCAGATGAAGATAAAATGAGTCAGACGGGAATTAAATCGCCTATTAATCTTGCTCGCCTGTGGTCTAACCTTTTCCATTCTCATATCTGCCTCCAGGTGGAGTGACTCGAATGACAGTATCTCTGGTAGTCATCATGTTTGAGCTGACTGGCGGTCTGGAGTACATTGTTCCCCTCATGGCTGCAACCATGACCAGCAAATGGGTGGCAGATGCTTTCGGAAGAGAGGGAATTTACGAGGTGACGTGTCTGCAAACGTTAATGAAAAGTGTCTGTCCCCTCCAACCCTTTGCTGTACAATAAGAGCGAGTTTGCGCTCTTTTTGTCTTTATTAGGATTCATGTGTTTTATTGTTTAGGTTTTTTTCCCCCCTCCTTTTAAAAATGGAGACGTAAAACCTGCATGTTCTTGATGTTTCGCAGGCTCACATCAGGCTGAATGGATACCCGTTCCTGGAGCCAAAAGAAGAGTTTGAACACAGCAGCCTGGCGGTGGACGTGATGAGGCCGAGGAGGATGGACCCCGCGCTGGCTGTGCTCACGCAGGAGGGCATGACTGTGGGGGAGGTGGAGGTACGACTGCACATATTACACCTATGTTTCTTGGGAAGAGATTTGGAATCCTAATAGAGGTAATAGAAATAACATTCGTTTCTTGGTTTATGCGCAGTCATTGGTGGAGAGCACGCACTTTAGTGGCTTCCCTGTGGTTGTCTCTTCGGAGTCCCAAAGGCTTGTGGGATTTGTACTCAGGAGAGATCTGCTCATATCAATAGGTATGAATTATGCTCGTGTGTAAACAAAGATCTAGTCACAGGGTTGTTTTTTTTGTTTTTTGTTTTTGTATGCAAAGCAATTTGGTTTCCACAAATCCCACTTTGCTCCTTTCAGACAATGCCCGCAAACGTCAGGATGGCATCGTCAGTGCCTCCCAAGTGGTCTTCACTGAGCACACACCGTTGCTTCCTCCCGACGCACCGCCTCCCCTCCGGCTGAGGTGCATCATGGACCTGAGCCCCTTTACAGTTACTGATCACACCCCTATGGACATCACTGTGGATATTTTCAGAAAACTGGGGCTACGCCAGTGTCTGGTCACACATAATGGGTAAGAAGAAACACACACACACATGCATATACTTGATTTTGTAATTAATGTTTTTATATCAAGTATTTAGTGTCCAAAGGGCAAACCTGCGCTGGATTTAGTCTCCAAAATGACTTATTGTATGAGCAGAGCCCTCTAGTTTCAAGCAATATTAACAAAGATACACAAAATGACCACACTCCCACTCCCGTAGACATTAAACTGAGATATGTTGAGGAAATTGCGCTTGTGGAGGAATGAAAGGAGTGACAGATGAATGTGTAGGAGAGCTCGGGGTCATTCCTCTGTCAGGTCATGCATCAAGGTGAGCGCAGGAGTCAGGGAGGGGGAGACAGAAGGTTAATGGAGTGTGTGGCAGTGAGGAACAACAGTGGAAATTCTCAAGGTGTTTTTCTGCCTTAAACTCTGAACTGTCACTGACTCCATACCATGAACTTCAGTGATATAATGGCTTTTGGGGCTTTGGTATGCACGTCTCCGTAATGGAAAACATGTCATGGATAGAGCTACAAAGCCTACGTGGTATTTGATATTTGCAAAAGCAACACACAGGGAAGCGGAGGAATTATGATGATGGCACGCTATCAATTTGGACGCATTGAAGATTTTTTTTTGTAGCTCGTGACACTTTTTAAAATCTGCGTCTTCAAAGTAGTCCCGCAGTGATCAAGGCTTTTGTAGTATGATTGGGAAACTTAGCAGATGATGTGTATATATATTTTTTAACTTTCTAACATGTTTCCTCTTTCACCAATAAACCTAACATGTACAGAGTATGCAGTAAGAACCAACACAGGGGAAACCGTAACCACCGTTCTGCCATTTAAAAAAAAAAAAAAAAAATGTTTATACGAAAAATAACAAAAATTAAAACCATCGACAAAATGTGAAGAAATAAGTGACTTCATGTCCAAGACAACTGAGTATCGTACCAAAGAGATATCAGCTGCACTAGGGCTAGGCTGTACTTTCACGTAGTACCAAATTGTACTACAACAAGGTGCATCAGTTCAAGATAACCTTTATTTAACTACGTAAGTCGTTACGAACATGTTCTTAAAAGTAAATCCCAGAGAACAACATGCATCCAAAAAATTCCTACAAAATCTGTTTGTGCACATGCTGCATCGTGGTGGTGAAAGCCAGTGACTTGGTCACCAGAGTGAAAATGGGACGGTGACGTCTTCGTGACTAAGAAAAAACGGAGCCGCAGCTGGAATAACTCTGATAAATTGACCAAGTTTTGCATGTTAACAGAGGGATTTATAAATGCAGAGAGATTGGTTGCAACACTTGGTCTACACTGATGAGCGCAATTTGTCTGCAAGTTGACTCAACTGGTTGCCAGCTGGTTGTATGCTGGTCATGTAAGAGAAGGTTGCTGAGTTGTCTGTCATTTCGGAGTAAATCACCGTCCTCCAACAACTTCGTCTATGTTTAGGATGAATTGCTGTTTCAGGTCTGTGAGGTTTTGGCTGGATTTATGCAAGTACTTAGTATGATTTTCTGGGTATCTAGACAGCAACAGATTTGGGATTTTCACCGATTTGTCACAGTTAAGAGCCGCATTATCACAAACAGATTATAGCTTGAATCCATTTAAGTGCAAATTGATAAGAAACTCGCAGCAGACTGACTCGGTCTTATTGGGATTGCATCGTCTTATTGTCACTTTGAAGATGGCAACTTACTGTGAGCGGCCCCGGACTTGGTTCCTGCCTTTGAAGCGACCATTTCATCGCAAGTTCATTGCACATGGTTGCAATATATTCAACCACTGTTTTCCCTAGTGTGACTGCAGAATTAGAGATGCGATGAAGGATTTTATTAACTGCCCTCTGAACTCTCCCAGACTTTGCAATTACTCACAGGCAGTTGCAATTCCAACACGACCGCATCAGCAGCTTGGATTAGCTCCGTGCATTTCAGATCTGCATTCGCTTTAATATTTGATGAGCGCTATAATCTAACCACAAACAAAACAACCAGCGCCTGTAATCCTGAGTGATGTCTTTTTCTTCTCTTTTAGTTAGTTTTGTTCAGATGCATCATTAAAATGTTTTAAAGAGCTTAAATCAAACTTGGCCTCAGCTGTAGAAAACCTGGCATCAGTTCGGCCGCTACGAAGTCGACGCAGAAATTGGACTAAAGCTGCTGTTTGGTCATTCATTTGAAATGTGAGCTCTCAGGGATATTTAGCAAAAACTTTACTCTGTTCTAAAATCATCACTATCAACCACACCTCCTCCAGCCCCACTGAGGCCAACTTAGCTGAACAACACACTGTTCTTTTGTCTGTCGGGCCTTACATCTGTCTTCATAATGGAAAACTATAGTGTTGGTCTGCAGAATTACATTCAGCAACAGAAGAACAATAAACTTAATCAGAGTTGGGTTCATTTTTCTTCTTTCGGTCCGTCTCTCGTGCGCGCACGGTTGTTTAGATCGAGGTCTGACATGTTCAAACATGAGATTTTAGGAGTGGGACTGTGTATATTATGAATTTACAGTACATGCGGTGTATATAACAAAGGCGGTTAAACAAACACACGTAATCATGCAGCTTGTGGTTTCTCACTTTGTCCTCTTGGCACACTGTATCAAGTTTTCTACAGTAACGCTCCTTTTGTGGAAGACCGAGTGTTTAGCCTTGGCCTGAGCTGCCATCAAGGCACAGAGCCACCTAATGTTGCAAAGAGCGAATCAAAAAGCGGCGTAGAAAAAGAATGAAGATATGAAATGTGAGAGGGAAGGAAAATAAATGTAAGAATATGAAAGAAATGTGGGTTTGCCAGGGGAAGAATTATGCCAAGTTTATCAGTTTGGATCACTGAAGCAGAGAAGGCTGGCTCAGCCCAACTAATTCAGGCAACGTATTCACTGTATTTGCTCAAATTAAATTCTGAGGGTGAGGATCTCATGCAGCTCAGAGGTTAAGATGCAGCGAGCTACAATGTTCCTGTTATTTCTCTCTCTTTTTTTTTAAATATAAAGGCTTAAAATGATCCAAAGTGTTACCTATAAATCAGTAAAAACATGGAGACAAGCGTAAATTCTTTCCCTTAAAATCATCAGCAAAGTGACCTTTGAGCTACTTTAAAAAAAATGTTTTTTTCGCTACCTGGGGGACAATAAAATTTGATGTTACAACTTAGCACGAGCTGAAATACAGTCGAGTTGGCAAATGAGGTTAAAGAGGACTTCTCAGAATTTGTCATTGCAACCCCCGTGAGTTAGCTGATGTGCAAGAGGCTGTTTGAAGCAAGTCTTTTTAGACCTCGTGATCTAGTATTTATTGTAAATAAGCGCTCAAGGTACTTTTTACTTTAGTGTGGATCAAGTCACATCTGTAATGACTTTAAAAAACAAGAACTGGGTGCTCAAATTTGAATGTATTTTGTATTTTCTCTAATCCACACGGGGTCAAAAGTATATATAGTTGATGCCCTTTAGCAAGTTGCACCTCCACCAGGTGCTTTTGTTATCTGTCAACAAGCTTCCACAATAATTCTGACTGGATATGTGACCAATCTTCTTGGTAGAGTTGGTATAATGTTCATTTAAATTGGTTTCCTGCCACGGTCTCAGCTATTAAATGCACTTTCAATATCGATGTGGACAGGGATTAGGAAAGGCCATTCCAGAAGTATAATGTTCACCTGTTTTGATATGTGTTTGGGATCATTTACTGTTAGAACAACCATGTCCAACATCTAGCTTTGCTTTGAGGTGAAGTTGAAGAATTTGGCAGTATTCCTCCCCCATTATTATTCCAGCCACTTCGTGCTATTGCTGCTGCCATTAAACAGCCCAGAACATGATGCTACCACCACCATGCTTGACAGGTGGTGCACTGTTTTTAGGTTTGAAAGCCTCACCTTTACTCCTCCAAACATACCTCTCGTCTTTGTGGCAAAATACCTCAATCTTTGTCTCTAATTTCATGTCAAATTTCCAGTACATGGCAGGCTGGAGCTTTGGTGGTTCCTGGGTTGTTTCAAAATATTTAACCTATTTTCTGTCATCTGAGGGTAAGGTAACAGTTTGACGGGGTCTGGGACAAGACCCAACGTTTTTTAAAGTCATTAAAGGTGTATGCTGTACATTCAGTCCACCCTGGAAAAATAAAAGTTCAAAGAAATAATTCAAAGCCCCAAATTACCACGGCATTCATGCCCATGATGAATAGGTTTAAATTTGGTGACATCTTACTTACCTTGTACCCTAGATTGTCAAACAGCTGAAAATGTCTCAAAAGATGGGTCATTTCTAAGATGGATAATGTCACTGTAACTTCACCCACTGGTTTGTGGCACCTGAAGCTGAACTGTTTTGGGGGGGTCAACAGCACCGACAGCATCTAAACCTTTGTATAGTGGGTCTGTGTTACTCTGCAAGTTCACCAGCATGCAGTAGATGGCAGTGCATTTGTAAATACATATTTTCTTGGAATTGGAGTTGTGTTTACATTTAAATGAAGTTACACACTAGGTTATGGTGTGTGCTTTCAAGGGATTTTAAGCAGCATGGGAGGAAAAATAAACCTCAGGTTTCACAACACAGCCCGAGACACAATTTCTTTTGCACTATTTTTGGATGCTTATTCACCTCTTACTCACATAGCATCCATTTGATTCTTCGCATGTACTTTCTGTATAACTAACCACACAAAAACTTTGTTTTGGGTTTGATCCGAACACATCGTTATACTTGTAGTGTCACTCTTTGTCAGTGTGTATAACCAATTTATCCTTCCTGTGTAAAACCCCCTTCTTTACTGTTTCTTCCTGCTGCCACTTGAGTCTGACGTGTGGAGCAATAATTCAAACCAAGTTTGAGAGCAGAAGAGATGAAAATCAGCAACTGTCAACAAAAACCCCTCAGACATGTAGCTGCTGCTCTTCAGCACAACAGCTTATTATAAAAGATCGGTTTAAGATTGACTCGCCGCCTGTGGGTAACTTTGTCAAGCATAGTGACTCCTGAAGGACACATTGGCCTCAGATGGGCCCAAAGTAGAATTTCTTTCTTTTCTGGGTTGGGCTAAACAGGGACTTAGAGGAACATGAGGGAACTAGAGGTACATAAAAGGGGTGAGAAGGAGAAAGGACTGAAACTGGTTAAAGAAAGCTGTAGTCTGCTCTGCTTGGTTGGGCAGGATGAGGTTTTAAATGAAATGAATCACTCATTGTCTGGGAACAAAAAAGGTTTGCACACAGAAAACAGACCTTGAGGCTGTATGAAGTGCAAACTCTGGTGTCTGCGGTCCTACGAGATGTTAATTTTATCGCTCTCACCTGCAACAAAGGGATTTCCCCAGGCTGTGTTTAGTTCAAGGTTGCCTAGTTAGGTGGAAGTCATTTTTGGTTGACTCGGTATTTGTTGTGTTGAAATTTAAAAAAACAAAAAACAAAACCTCGATCTGCTTTTGTTTTTCATGTGTCAGCTTAAGTTTATTTTGCAAAACAAGCCAAAACAACAACATCCTCACTGCCACAATGTTTTCGTTAGACTTGGTTTTGCCTTGTTTACATTTTTTTTTTTTTTTTTTTTTTTGTGCTCAGATTTCTTTGATCTTGTTCTCATTTGTCAAATTCACATCTTCATGCGAGCATTTATGAATGAAAGACAGTCCTGTCACATGTGTTTCTCTGAACAGATGATTAAAGAAGCAGCGCTGGGATGTTTGTGTGGGTGGAAGAAAGATGTAAAAGCTGCTTGTGTTGGGCTTTTTTGTTTTGGTCAGAGGATGAAGTTGTTTACATTAAAGTGGACCTGTTAAGCTTTTCAATATTATCTGTTTGTTAAATATTTATATTTCATCTAAAAAATATAATATGATATAATTCACATACAGCTGCAGTTGTGAATGTTAATGATGAGGTCAGTGTATTTAGAAATAATCCCTGGGAGCTAGAAGATCAGGTTTCAAGCCCCTTTAAACACAACGTCTCCATCAAATGTTTTTCTATTTTTACCTCTGCATGATGTTGGTATAGTGATCTCACAGAAGCCCCACCCACCTGCTCTGGAATACTTCTGTTTGCTAGGGACAGCCAATCAGACGAAAGGTGGCTTAAAGGGCGAAGAGCTAAAACAGCCTCTTTCAGTAAGGGTAAGCTGAGGTTGTGCACCAAAGCTTAGGCTTTATTTGAACTGAGAATCTTACAATGCTGCTGTAGTAGGGACTCAGGATAAAAATCTGAATGTAATGATGAATATTGTTATGCTTTAGTCCAAAAAACAGTAATTCAGGGTTCTTGTAGACGTCTGAATTTTGAGACTGCACGGACTACAACTAAACTAAACAACTACTTGGCTGTCAGATCTCCAGCTCTGCATGTCTTTTCCATAACACAGTAAAATGTAGGCTTAAAGCATCAAGGATATTACAGATAAACAAAAAAATATAATATATTGTAAACAGTGATTTCGGTGCTTATTGGGGTGTGGGTCATAGGGGCGCCAGTTAAAGCAGAGATTTCCAGATTTTCCTGGAGGGGTGCATAAGCTATCCCTTAGTCAGTTGAGGGATCTTCTCCAGCATGTCCAGGCCCTGCTGAGGTGTAGGACGCATCCCAGTCAGATGCCCAAACCACCTCATCTGCATCCCTCTACCAGCTGTACTCGAATTCCTGCCAAATGACTGAGCTTCTCACTGCAGACACCTTCCCAAGGACGATGATTTCTGCCGCTTGTATCCACAACCTCATTAAGAATACTGGGGAGGTTGTCAGATGTTGTCTTTATGGGGGAAAGAGTTTAAGCTTCAGGGCTCCATACAGACCACTAACATGTGTCAAAATAGCGACTCTTTAATCTGATTTTCATGCTGGGGGAGGCGACGAAGCCACATCTAAGGAGTCGGGCGAGCTGTGAGTGGAGATTCTCATAGTGTGGCCCCAAGAAATCTAGTTTTCATCGAGCCATTTGCAGCCAGTTCAGCCCATTTCTCTGACTCCTCAGGGCGTTGCTGCCTCACGTCATCACAGATCACAGCGTGCATACAAAAACAGCAATTTCCTGCAACGGTTTTAATTGAGCGAGCGTCGTGAGCTGATGGTGGTTCGCTCCTTTCAGATGCAGATGGTGACTGGCATGTGAGGACATCTCAACGTTTAATTTGTAAGAAGAGGAATGGCTTATGCCATCTGTTGAAAATCATCTGTCGCTAATATGCAGCAGATTAAATGTCCTCGGAGCGTTGCGCAATTAATCGCCGGATGTCGTGGACGGCTTCCATTTCTCTGACCCCCCCCCCCAACCCACCACCAGCACCACTGGAAATTAGATTTGTGTTAGCAGAGTCGTGTTGTTGATCAGTCACTTGTTTGCTCTGTGTTTTCATGTTGCTGTGCTCTGCCAGTTGCCCTGGCTCCGTTTAATAAAACTGAATCAACTGTGCCGAGATAGAGGGCCAGGCCTAAGCGAAGGTTTCTGCTTTCTGTCACTCTCTCTGGTTTTCCATGACGAGGTGATCAAAGAATGACTTGAAGTCATCCACTTTTGTTCTGCTTTTCTGTCTCTGTTTTCAGGAGGCTGCTGGGAATCATCACCAAAAAGGACATACTTAAACACATGGCGCAGATGGCCAACAGGGACCCGGACTCCATCCTCTTCAACTGATCTTCTCCGTCCTTCCTCTTCATCCTCGCCCACCAAATCGCCCCTCTGTAGAGTGGGGTGAAGGGGGGGGTGGTACACCAGCTTGTAGACTTACATGAAATGCACCTTTACCTCTTTGGCGAGAGAGAGCCAAGGAAGCTTGAGCTTCATTTGCACAGCTGACCAGAGAACAATGGAATTTATTTTCTGTGTAACTTGAAGGCAACTTTGGCTCTTCGAATGACGACACACACCACTGAAAAAATTTCAAGAAAACAACAAGCTGTCAGAAACGGTGACTCGTCCTTTTACTGACAGTGCTGGACCCGATATCATGAGGGAAGTAGGACAGAAGTAAGTCGATGGAATATTTCACATCTGCACCTTCCAACATTTTCTGTTCTCATTTCCTTCCTCATTTTCAAACCAGTGAGGAAACCTTCAGAGAACCCCAAAGGCCACTTCTCTCTCCTCTGTTTGCCATCTCGATTCTCACACCTGGGAGGAAGGGGGGGGAGGCAGGAACAGCTAATCCTCTGTTATAGGTGCTGACAAGAGGAGACAGGGTGGAGGAGGAGAAAATGAAGACATTGGGGAAGATGAAGAGCTGTTTTGGGAGCTCCGTGCCTGCCTCCGGGCCATCACAGCGAGCCCAGACAGAGCACTTTGAGCTGGGCTGATGGATGTGCAGACACCTCCCTCCCTCTGTGAGGTTTCCTGTAGCCGTGAGGGTGAAGGATCCAGGAGTGTGAGAACAGGATTGACCACACACACACACACACACACACACACACACACACACACACACACACACACACACACACACAAGCAAGCGTACACTCCACAAAGACTTTCACGTCTTTTTCTTTTCTTTTTCGTCGTATGTTTGAGTTTTGTGATACAGCTCCAGCCTGGGAACTATGCAGCGCTGTCCTGCCATGCAGACAGTTTTGTTATGTTAACAGCGTATATAGTCATCGGAAACCATGTCATTCCTTATAGAAGGTGAGGAGCATTTCCAGGCTGTTGTGGAAGGGTTAAAAGAAAATCATGATGTGAATTAATTTATGTAAATGTAAAATTGTTCACTCTACTAAATTATTCCCCTGATTAAAGTTGTGTTTTGTCTTCTTTGTTTTAGCTCCTCATCACTTCGACTGATGTCTTGTTTGCATTTCGTACTCACCTGATCTTTATTTCATTTATTTATATATTTTTTAAGCTCCGATTCGAGCAAATCTCTCACTGAAACGTGTTTTTGTTTTCGTCGGTGATCAGAACACGAATTTTAGTTCTCTGAATTTACTTTTTTTTTCCTCAGTTTTTCCTAAAAAGCCAAACTGAAACTGATCCAGTGGAAAATGTCAGCTGCAACTAATCAAAGAATCTTGATCAAAAATGAGAAACAGCTGCTGCTCTGGTCCTCTGAAATATAAGATTTTTTTTTTCTTCTGTCAGGCAATAGTGAGGTGAATCTTTGTTCTATTCAAAGACGTCATGTAGGCACAATTCTTCCGATGACTAACCACGCAAACAATTTTCAAATGAACGGAAAATGATAATTGTTCAAATTTTAGTTTAATCAGGTTTGAAGCTGAATTTAGGCATTAACGGTGATGTCAAAGTATATTACTCCGTAAATGAATCTGTATGCCATTAAACCCACCTCAACATTTTAAAATAATTGTGTTAATTTATAAAATGTTCTCACAGGACTAAATGCATCCCGTGGCCCTCTCTTCTTTATTTTAGGGTTTTGTTTTGGGTTTGTTTATCAGCATTTTAACCAGGTCTGGACTTGGACATGACCATTGCAGCACCTTGATCCTTTCCTTTTTCAGCCATTCTGTTGTAGATTTGCTGCTGTGACTGGGATCATCGTCCTGTCGGATGACCTGATTTCAACCAAGCTTCAGCTGTCAGACAGGCGGTCTCACATTTGACAGGTTCTGCGAAATGAGGCCAAATCACCAGCCCTCCACCAGCGTGCCTGGCGGCTGATGTGCTGTGTTTCGTTTTTGCCAAACCTGTTGCCGTTCATTACGGTTAAACGTCTCCACTCCACAAACGTCTCATCTGGCCAAATCACATTGTTCCAGAAGTGTTGTGGTTTATTCAGATTTATTATTTCTCCTGCCAACCTTTCCAAACAAGTCATATTTGTTCAGGCATTTTCTAATTTGACAATCATGAACTAACTGAGGCCTGTGGAGTCTGGCTCTTTGTTCTTTTACATTTTCTCAGAGCATTTCACAGTGAAGGATCTCAGGAGTGAGTTTGCTGAATGTTCACTCCTAAGAAGATCGCTGCTTTGTGTTAACACATGGCTGAATGCCCCTTATTGCTGATCAGTTAATCGAGTATATTTGATTAGCAGGCTGGCTGCTACGTACCAGTCATAGTACGGATTTCCCCCAACCCAGTTTATTTCTCCAAACTTATTCTTTTTTATTTTGCTTAGCACAAAATTATAGAAAGGAAACAACGGCTAACAGAAACCATTTTATGAGCTAACTGGTGTTTATTTCAAGTGTCTCATGGCATATTACATTAATTACAGGTTCATTCATTTCTTTCTTTGTTTTGAATTTTTGGCAGCTTTGGTCCTCCATACGAGTCTGAATGGAGAGGGGGAAGCAGCTCATATTATCTCAGACGTTATATCACCATCCAGAGAATAATATTATTCTGGGCTATTTTTAACTCTTTAGAAATTCAGCAGGTCAGTTTGAACTTCATGTGCTACCCTGTAAATGTTGGCGGCCCGGGACTCGTAAAGTTTCACCTCCTCTCTGAGCGCTTTGTTTAGATGGTGAATTGATTTTCTTTTTTCTCACAGGCTGCTCTCTGCAGCCAGTAAAAACATAAAGTAATGGTGAAAGTTTAGAGAAACCATCATGTGTCCTGGGAACAAGCACCTGCTAGAAATCCTGTACGTTATGTTGACTTAATGGGACTTTAAAATGGAACGAACCCTGTGAGCTAGCGATGTTTATTGAGCCTTCAGAAATACAAAGACAGAGATGCATAAAAATGTAATGTTAAAAAAAAAAAAAAAACACACTGGGTGAACATCTTAGAATTCATTTGGGATTTTTTCCAGTCCACACAGGATCGTACAAATGTACATGCATATAGATACATGTTCTAAAGTGTGTGTTTAACTATGACAATGCCTATTAAAATTCAGTTGTATTTATATAGAGCCAAATCTTAGCAATGGTCACTTCAATGAACTTAACATACAACTGACAGTTCTTTGTCAGCATGAAAGGGGTTTGTTTGACAGCAGTCACTGACCAACATTCAGAACAGTGGAAAAGTCCAAGGAACTCGGGACGATCTAAGCTGGAGAAAGGTAGATTTACATAAAATAGGAAGATCACCGGAGACACCCTCAAGGCTGGAACGCCAGCATCGCTGTCCACAGAGAATCGGCACCTTCCAGCTTGACTGAAATTTGCAGCTGCCCACATGGAGAAGCCAAATGCTTTCTGGAGAAACGTTTTCTCAGTCGAGACAAAGATGCAGTCTTTTGATGCTGTGTGGATCATAGAAAATCCAAAAAAACTTCAAGCTTTTGTACCCAATTCTTGTTTGTTAAAGGCAATGAAAAAGAACAGTTCAAATCAATCTTTAAATGCCCAAAATTACCATGATTTTCATGCCCGTGATGAATGTACAGCTGTAACCTACAGAATGCTTCTCCTGCTCTCACCTGCATCCACCAGAAGGATCTGGGAGGATGATTTACTCATCACTGTCCAGTTTTATGAGCAGCATAACTGCAGGGAGTGGTGAGCTCTGAGATCCCTTTATCACTCCGTGTATATCAGAGTCTGCAGCTCATCGAATCGCTCTCAGCACATTTATATAAGTGTTTAAAACTAGTTAAATGAATGCTTTTGTTATATACAGGGATGAGATGAGTGTCTCATTACCACTGTATTTTGGTTGGCCCACTGCTGCAGCAGCTTTATTGATTGTGATTGACCATTTCCTTTTAAACATCATTACCCTAAACAAGATCATCGCCATGATGATGATGATGATGGTGATTTAAACTCTAAAATCAGCCTGATTGAAACATAAAAGCACCAGCGTTCATCTACGTCACGTCCCACCTGACTCTGGCGTGTATTTGCCAGTATTTGGACGGATCTGTATCGATGCATCTGTTTCCAATTGAGCTGTAAGAGAAACTTGCTGCTTGCTTGCTTTTTGATTTCTTTTTATGAGCTGGTGCCAGAGAGACGGCAGGTTCGAAGCTCCTACCATTTCAGTTAATTTAACATGCTGGTCACTGATAATGAGCTTCGATTTGCCTGCAAAATAGTGCAGAATAGACACATACAGGGGATCACACCAGAGAAACGGGCATTTAATGACCAGAAAATGAACTGTAGACTTTAATTCTAAGCACGGAGACCTCGTTACTGATTATTTCATGGCTTAGATGCAAAAAGTGACTCATTTTGGACAATACACGAGTCCCTTAGAGTAATTATGCATTACCTTTCTAAAGGATTTTGGCTAATACATGGTTGTAGCTTGGTTTACCTCTGCATATATAAGCTGGTGTGGATGATTGATGTTGGAGGCATATATAGTGTTGGATGGTAACTGAGTAGGAAAGCCGCATTAATTTAAATCAATATTTATTCATTTGAGCCACATTTCACATCACGTGGAAGCACTTTCAACTTCTCCTGTCTTATAAATGATGTGAAGTGGGTAGGGAGAGGTCTATGGTGTCGGCACAAGACCCAAAATATGATAACTTCAGGAGACTGGCTGGTTATTGATCGGCGGACAGAAAAGCTTGTGCAACAGGCTAGACAATGGTTTAAGATAAATTGATCGTTTTTACTGTACTATTAACAAAGTGCCTGACTTTTTTTTTAAGAATACTCCATCCTGGCTGTGCTTTCTTTGGCCACAAATAGAAACTGACTGACATACATCTCACTCAGTCATAACTGTGGAGGACCAAAACTGCCAACGATTTGATGAGGTCCCAGTAGGCAAAAGAGCGAATTACTGCGGCCGTGTGCAATGAACATGCGATCATGTTTTCTTTGACATCACAAGCGCTGAAGCTTGAGACCAGGTCTGCAACACCTTCATTCGTATTGTCTTCAAAGTGACTTTGGTGCTAAAATGACAATAAGATGGATTCAGTCTGCCATCAATTTAGAACTAAATCAAGTTTTGATACTATGGTGATAAACAGCAATAAATCACTGAAAATACCACATCTGTTGAAACTCTATTGACATGCACATTTTAAACATCTAAGCATTTTTACTTTAAATGGAAATGTGCATTAACTATTTACAATCAGTCCAGACACAACCTCATAGATTTGAAAGAGAAATGTAGAAATTTCTCCTGAAAATACTCACATAGGTCCTGGAGAACAGTGATTTAAAATTGCATGGGTGCGGTGCCACTTTGGTTTCACTGCTGGCAATTGATTGAAAAATGCAAATATAACTAATGCAATCAGTAATTATAAATCAAGCAGTAATTGATTAAAAAATATGATGGAAGATAAAATATAGTACTGTGCAAAAGTTTTAGGGAGGTGAGAAAAAAATGCTGTAAACAAAGAAAAACAAAGAATGCTTTCAGAAATATAAAAGATTGTTTATTGGCCCCAAATGTATTCTGCAGCAGGATAATGACCCCAAACATACAGACAAAGTCATTAAGAACTATTGTCAGTGTAAAGAAGAACAAGAAGTACTGGAAGTGACGGTATGGCCCCCACAGAGCCCTGATCTCAGCATCATGGAGTGTGTCTGGGATTACATGAAGAGACAGAAGATCTGTGGTTAGTTCTCCAAGATGTTTGGGACAACCTACCAGCCAAGTTCCTTCAAAAACTGTGTGCAAGTGTACCTGGAAGGATTGATGCTGCTTTAAAGGCAAAGGCTGGTCACACCAAATACTGAATTGATTCAGATTTCACTTTTGTTCTTTCACTGCATTTTGTTGAATGACGAGAATAAATGATTATCACTTCCATTTTTCAAAGGATTCTTTGTTTACAGCATCTTTTTTTCCTCACCTGCCAAAAACTTTTGCACAGTACTGTAAATACTTTTTTAAAAACCAAGTTCTGTGTTTATTTGGTG